TATGATATGCTCTTGGGTAGTACCCCTTAGAAACTTCCTCTCTCGCGACTCACAGGGTGCAACTTGCCAGCTCTAGCAATTGCTCCAATATTACCTGCAAAACTTGGGAAGTTCCACAGAATTCACCCTAATTAGACTTGTTTTCAGTAACTTTAGGTCATACCTCGAAAATATATTGCAACCATAAGTAATTTGACTATATGAATTGAAGGTTTGAAAAGTTCTCAAGTACGATTCTAGCACCCCACAATTAGACCACATGGCCGCAGAGCAGACACAAGAAACGCCACTTGGTGACCACGAGATCGCAAGCTCGATTATCTATCGGAGACGAATTAATTGCCCGTCAAACATGGCAACAAAGTGTAAAGGAAAGTGACGATCATATTTCAGAAAATCGGATTGGTGCCTGGTTTGTTGCAAAAGAAAATTAGCGAGGTAATTATAAACATGGATCAGATGATAATCCCGAGTGTGGGAGAAGGGAGTCAAAAAGAAAACAGGGGAAGAGCCAAAATTTTAGAATGCGCCCTTGAATTATGCGGAGGCTCAGTAGAAATATCTGCGTCATGTTCGCTGCGGATGCTGGGGCGGGTTAGAGGAGTTAGCTTTGGCACAGCGCCCTACTGTTTTCCACTTATTGTTGTCGCTTCTACAATTGGCGGAGAATGGGTTGGCGCTGTGCCGTACCTAGCTCCCTTGACACTTCCCAGCATCCATGGCGAACATGGCTCTATCTTTCTCTGAGCAAACTTACACAAGATTCCTTGATATGTGTGTTTTGAAGTTCATAGTACGACTTACGGGGACTTGCCGATCTACCCATCTGGTTAGCGGGACCAAACTGGTTGTAAAGAATTGCACTAAAAAAATTTTTTGAGCAATTCGGACTTTTTGGCAAAGTATGGAAAGTGCGCCACGTGTTGCCGGAATGTCTGACGCTCTCTCATGAACATTGAGCTGAAACTGACCACCCCCCCCACCCCACTCCCCTTTAAACATGTCTTGTCCTTGTTTCGTGTGCTTACTCGTGAGCGCTAGATCAGACTGAGGATCCCTTGATGTGTTGATTACTCCTTGTGTTTATAAGACAAAAAACTCACCAGGATATGGGTATGGTTGTGGTGGCGGCGGCGGAGGGGGTAGAGGTGGAGGCATCATCGGATATGTAGGAGCCGGTCCATATGGTTGCACGTATCCTCTAGGCATATATGGTGCAGGACGATAGTAGGGAGGCGGCGGTCCTCCACATCCAGCTGAAAGTCATGGATTTTTCTAACCTGCTGTAGTTTAATGCAGTATACAGCTGATGTCGTCGCATTCAGTCTTAGCGGGATCAAGAGGAACGGAATGAACCCACCTGCGGCTTTCCACCGCTGGTTGATTGTTTCCCGATACGGTCATCAATCGACCACTACTGGTAGAAAAGGCAGCCGGAGTTGGGCTCATTCCGCCCCTCCTGACATCGCTCTACTGAACCGATGTCAGGAGGGGCATAGGACCAGGGCGTGGCTTGGAGCGCACCCAGCACAGATTTCCTACTGTAGCTTGTTGGCACAGGACGACATCTTTGTTGAAATACGGTCACCCTTGCTGCGCTATAATACGCGCCGCGTCGCGCCATAATGTTTGCAGGGATCATGATTGTGCATCAGTTGATTTCCTAGTCTTAATCACAACATCTTCGTTGACAAAAAAATCGAAAAATGCAAAAATGACCGCCATTTCTGTAAAGTTCACTTGGCGTCAGGACACTGAAACAGTTCTCCAGCTGTTCCATTCAATGTGGTTAGCAGCACACAAAGTTCACCTGCTGGTAAAACTTGAAGTGGTCTGTAAGCGACAGGACGATAAGGTTGATAAGGTTGTGGGGGGTGCGGTGGGTATGGGTGAGGTTGATAAGGCTGAGGTTGAGGTTGAGGCTGAGCCATGTATGTGTCCTCTCGTATGTACGTTCTTGATGGAGTAGCGACGGCAACCTGGAAAATAGTTTTTGCACAAGATCATTAAAATATCATGCTTGACTTACCTCTGTTTGCGCCGGAGTTGATTCCTCAACAACAGTATGTTTCAGCTCGGGAAGCTTTTTCTCGAAGTCTTCGAAATCCTTGAAAAAGGTGAAAATTAATTGTCGTCTGAAGACATCAATTGAGGTTTCAATTGCTACCTGACCTTTGTGGAAGCAGTGGCCGTTGATGGTTCCTTGTCGACACTGGCCAGGGTTTCCAAGGGAGACTGAGCGTACGAGTTGGCTGAATAGGCATTATGAAAAAGGCAAAGTGATTAAGGATAATAAAGTCACTGGGGATATAAGTGAATTCCCCCTCCGTCTCGAGCCCTTATTGATACTACAGTGTTGAAAAGCTTCGCCGTGTACCCTAGCTCTTAGCCAATATTTGAGGGTGAGTTTCCTCGAAAGTTGAGTTTTCAACAATTGTTTTTGTTTACACAATGATTGATTACTGGAAGGCATGTAACTGATAAATATTATGCGTAATTAAATGATAAACGTAACGATAACTTCATTCGTGAGGTTCCGCCGTTTTCTAATATGGATCAGAGGATCTTCAAAATGCAGATGAACTAGTCCCTGGAGCTGGCGCTGGTCCAGCTTAGATGCACAGTCCAATACGTCCCGGCTAAGAGTTTTCAGAAGTGGCGTGTCGTCTTGCGACACGCAATGACAATCGGATCTTATAACATGCTCCTGGGGCATTTCTTTCTATTTCTCCTATTCTTTTCATGTTCAGTGGCATCTGTGCAGAGGGTGAGTAGATTGGAAGGATGTTGGACACCAAAGAAAGGGACGCCTGGGTGTTCAACGGATGCCCAAATATGTTATGTTCTTCCGACACTGAAGTTCCATAGGGTTCAAGAAAACCTGAGAGCAAAGTCAGGGTTGTTGCAGCTGGCTTTGTTCGAGCTTCCAAAAATTCAAGTGAATGCACCTCTTGAATAGTTCGAATAGTAGTCTTGGTTTTTTTTTCAAAGCCCCATTACCCGCAGATTTTTGCACCTAAAATTCTAGGAATTTTGGAAACGTACATCTATAGTAGTACTCGATTGGTTGTGGTTGGGCAATGACTGGAGGAAGCGGTTGAGGTACGGGCTGAGAATAGTGATGACCGTAGGAGGGCTGATAACCACCACCGCCTCCACCACATCCTTGACTCGAATAGCACTGTGTGTCAACGCTGAGAACGAGGCTCAGCACTGCCACCAAAATAATCATCGCTTTCCAGATGATTTCGTCTTGCTTCTGAAATCAAATCAAAACAGTTAAGTTACAGTAAGCCCGTTTTGTGCGGTTGTAGAAACTTCATGAGGGGAACTTGCAAAGATTAAAGGCAAAGCAGAAGATAGTCAGGACAAGGACGAAAACCAAGTCTGATATAAAATTCTATGGCTCCACAGGAGTGTGCACGTAGGCAGAACGATGGCATTGAGAAGTGAAAGGATGCAGGAGGAAGGCTATGGCTAAGCGAAACAGGTCGGCGATGAGGCAAATGCGCTTGAGCGCGATTCAGCGCCTTTATAGGGGAGCACGGTGTTGGTGAACGCCGTCAGCAGCAGATGCGCCACGGCTACAAGGCCAGTTCCAGCCGGCTAGTCGGATATCCGCAAATCCGTCGGTTGTAGAAAGATAAGCCGCTTCCGAAGAGTTTCACTCCCATGCTTTTGAGAGGATAATTACGGTTGACGACGGCAAAGGGCTTGTACGAAGCGAAAGCCACCAACAATTGTGGGATTATGTAGTCAAACGCTAGGCACATGCACTCCGGTCGATATGGAAGCACTACAGGGACCACCGTGCCTTTGGGTACTTTTTGCTATGAAA